TATATACTGAAACCAATTTGCCGTTTATTCCCATTAGCTCCATGTAATTTAAAACTATTTTTACACCTGACTTTTCTTCCTCATCAAATCTTTAGAAGTTCATTAAATCCATTTCCAAAATATTTTAAAGAGTCTATAAACGCAGAACAATGTCTTTTTGAGGTAATCATTTTCGAAACAGTCGCGCGCCGCGATTAGTATAATATTCCGTCAGTAATATTACATTAAGTATTAAATTAAACAATCCCTGTATTACTATTATATATCATTACAATCTCTTTTCTTATCGAGGAAAGCAATGATCGTAGCCTTTCTCACACACATTTCTCACCTCGTTAACACGCATCAGTGCTTCCATACATGCTCATCGGTTAAGGGTACTCTTGACCTCAATTTGGTTGGGGTAAGTTGGCCCCAGTCCACCCTTACCAACTTGCCCTCTCACACTCGCCTTACAAATCTGTCTCGTCTATTATTGAATTATTAATTAGAGTTCAAGTTAATAACGTAAAGTCACGTCAAGTCAAGTCACTTGAATATTCTAGAGCTGGGAGATGAAACGATATAGTAGCTTTGTTGTAAGTCGATTAGCTTGGTTAATTTTTGTTACAGTGATTAATTTTATACCTTGGTAGATGTATTTCTATTCTAAGGTATATTGTTATGGTAGACAGGTTATAAGGGAGGGAGGGTGTTAAAATTAAGTGCATGAAAAAATATTCAACACAAGCGCAACTATTTTGCACGATTTAACCTTCACTAGGTTCGCGGAGTAGCAAATTAATTTGCTTCCATTTCTATTAGTAATTATGTAGTAAACATTAACTTTTCGTCATTAGGACATATGAGCGGTGGGTTCCAATCCGGTGAGCTCTTTGGTGAAGGTTTATTATCGTGATGAAGCCTGTACTTCAAAGAAGGCTTACAACGCAAGAAAAACTTGTAAAGATGGCGGATTAAGCCATGAACAGTCGCCTCAGAGACATAGCCTAGCAGTGTGACATATAAATGAGTCAATGATGATGATGACGTAAGACATAATTTAAACAATTGATTTGATTTTTTTTACTTTAGAATAATTTCACGGGGACTGTTTTGTCATTGATTGGAAAATTCGTGTTAAAATCCAGTAATACGAAATGACCTTCATTCATTAGAGTGAAGTTCGTCATTAAATATCATGGTTTAGAACATAATTATACTGCCTATATTTAATAAAAACAAAATGAAGTAGTGGCGGTTCAAGAATGACTTAAGTAGGAGAATTTATTTTAATTTTCTATGAATTATTCAAAAACAGAGGCAGCACACTGAGGCCAATTATCTTTGGGAGGACGTAGATGCTTGTTCATTGGTATAGATTGTCTCTATACTTGATCTATTTGGCGAAGGTCCAGAGCGAATGGATAAATTAATATAATATGTACTTTTGAAATATACTGCGAATATTATAAGCATTACTTAACATATTTATTGTCTATCGATACTATTAACAACTGAATAACTGACATCGATAAGATTATCGATATTATAAATTGATTATACAGTTGAGACAGATGTACCAGGATCTCGGCTTCGATTACCTATTTACAGCTCTTGGAATCGAAATCCTTGGCACGTGGGGTCCTAGAGCCCTTCATATGTATAAAATTTTATCGAAAAAATTAATAGACTGTCTGGGAAACTCAAGGGCTAGCCAACGCATTAGCCAGCATCTTGGGCACCTTGCCGCGGAGTCCCAATTTTATTCGTATTTAAAAATCCTAGTTTTACTTTCTAGTATTTAAGCTTTATTATACCTTACCTGTATATTATCAAAATAAAAATATACACCGCAAAACTTAGCTTCATTAGAACGAGATACGTCAAACTGAGAGATGGTATACGATCGGTGAAATCGAGAATTGATGTTAAAAATCTTGTTAAAATAAAAAATATATCTATGATGGTAATAACTGACATCAACTTAAATAATTCTTCAGTAAGCCTTATTACTCTACGAATAATAACGAAAAAGCGTGGCGGTAGTATTTCTCAATTTTTAGTTTTATTTGTTGTAAAAATACCAAGTGACTGGACAAAGTCGTGAGCGAGTTAACAAAAGTTTTAAATCACAAAGATCTAAGGGGCACTGCCACAATCAACCTGAGACATAAGTTAACAAGTCCCATGTGCCTATAATTTTCGAGGAGTTTTGGCCGAAGGGGGTCATGTATCGATGTTTCCGAGGCCTGTCGGACACCCAAGTTGCGTCACATGTCGCAGTCCACACGTGTAAATAAATAAATAGTGCAATATACATATGGGCCGCTCGATGTTAAGGCGCAAACACATTTAAAGTAGCTTCTTTTACAGATCTATGCTACGGCGAGCTACGTGTGTATTATAACTTTTAGAAAAACTACGTATTTTAGTGTTAGATTTAGTGCTGCTAATAAATACCACGGGTTGGTGATTTAAGTTCGAAAGTGGTTAGTTTTTTGTTAACAATAAACAAGAGCAACCCCTTGTATCGATGCTGACCTCCTTCGTCGTCATCCCACCTTTTTATCATCGTCTTTTCTGGTTACTGGCCACTTTACAATTTGGACTCGTTCTCGAATTCCCTTTTCCATCATTATTCCTATGTTTGCTCCATCCGTGGTCACTTCCACCAAAATTCTTGAATCGAGAGCACGTATTCATTTGTTAAACTGAATAATTTCTAATGCTAAACTTCACCACCTTTTGTGTTGAGTATCGCATGTCTTATTTAGTTTTATAATATTATTTTATAATATTTTATAATATTGTTTTATAATAATATTGTACCTTTTTTATTTAATTTTATTTGTTACAGCTTTCTTTGGCTCGATTTTTTAAATTCTTCTATTAGAATACTTGTGTAAGGGAGTAAAGTCCGTATTTTAGCAAAATCATAACGAAATGTTTTTTCGGAGTTTTAAAATAAAATAAAATATGATATTTCTTAACTAGCGACTAAATTGTCTATGAAACTTGTTAAGATCAATTTCGAAAACAATTTCGAAATAATAGTTCATAGATATCATGAGTAAAATTTAATTATAATTAGGGCTTGCAAAATTCCGCTTCCTAAAATTTTGGTCGCCAGTACTGCGCTCAGCTAAGTACCGGTACTCCCGGTATTCTCGGTACTTCTTGAAAAGCTTAAATTATTACCAACAAGTATGATTATTCCGGGCTATCCGCACCTATTCAATAATTTACGTAATAATAATACCACAAAATAATAAAGAAAAATTTCATACTCTAATCAAACTTGAGGTTTTTATTCAAAATATCTATTTGAGAGATAAGTACTATTAAATTTAATATAACATCATTCATTCTTTCATATACAATCTGACTTCACTATCTAACATAATATAATATCGTAAAATCATATTGTAGTTAAGTAATAAGTAAAGTGCGGGCGAAGTTGCCAACGGGCGATTTTAATCATAGCTCATTATGTAGGTAGTTCCTTGCTAACCGGGAGCACCCGGAATCTATAATCGTGGTACCGGGACTGATTGCACCTCGCCAGTACCGGGATTACCCGGTATTTCCGAAACCGGGAATTCCCGGGAACAAGCCTAATCATGATAAAGACTCGTCCAGAAACAGAAACATAATCAATGTGTCAGATAATAATTACTTGGTGACCCTGTCATCAATAGTCATGTCATGTTTTTACTAAGTGGTTTTCTTGTCAAGTAATTATGTCACTTCTTGGAGATATTCACCAAATGACTTTTTCAAGCTAAACCAATATAGAATGACCTATGACCTAATGATGATACTTTCGACTACAAGATCTGAACACACTAAATCTATATGATAGAATAGGTTCGTAAAGATTTTTAATAGCATTTGATATCTCCAGCCCGCACGTTTGTGGGCCGTAGGACTGTCGACTCGTGATTTGAAATCCTTACACAGTTATGAGACGTATGTAGGGCAACGGTAGGCCATTAAAATTAATGTAATCGTAGCGATTATATGGTCACCTGTTGTACTCTATATTTTGTTTTCTCTGTATTTTGTTCGCGTGTGCAAATATTGTACGTACAATGTTATGACCGGCTTGTACTAACAGACGGTGCGTCCCTATTTATCATGTTTAACTGATTATGTCACTTATTGTAAACGTCTTGTCTAAATTGGTTTTACGACGTAAACCTTCACCTGGTTTTTTCTGCATGTCTTTTCAAATGTAATTGATGAAAGTAGTCGTAGGTTGTATTTTTTATCTAGAGTATTTTCTTACTAATCTATCGTGATATTAACGGGACAATTATTAACATTTGTTGAGGGACATCGCGAAATAAATATTAATACATCAATTGTGTTGCGGACAAAGTCCAAAATCGAAGTATTTCTGATTAAAAAATAAATACAGTTGCTGATGTTAATTATATCACAGCCACTTCAATTTATTATTATATTCAATTATCTGAATTGAGAATAATCGGGTTTTAATTGCAATAAAGCTACTATTTATTGCTAATTAAGTAGTTTTAATCAATGCCGAAATGACCAGTGCGTATAAACATGTGGTAAAAATTAACCGTATTTCCTTCAACTGCATTTTCAATTACTTTTTTTTACAATTAAAAGATTTTTACTTAAGGCTTAGATATTTTCAAATATTTAATGATTATGATTGTTTGATAATGCTAGACTTGCGGCGAGTATTATGTTGTATATTTGATTACAGAATTTTTCCGCAACATACCTATTAGGGACTACGTACTTGGTTAAGGACACTTTTGGGGCTAAACGGGTCTAAACTAAGCGTGATATGTTGCCACTGCCAACTTATTATAATTATCACAAATTCCGGGGCATAACGAATATTAAAATTGTTGACGTATAATATCCGAAAAACTATATTAGGTCAGTTGAATTATTAACAAGTATGAGCATTTAGAAAATTGGACACTAAAATTGTTTTCTACTACGTCACATTCAAAATACAGTTTCAATAGATACTGACACGTTACAAATGCAAAAAAGTTTTGGCGCCCAAATTAAAGAAAAAAACTCTTAATTGTTTTCTAGGGCATTCACGTTCAGGTCCATTTTGGACATGACAGGAGTTGCATAAGTTGGCGACGTAATGGCAACTCATCGCGCGGGGTAGAGGCGCGTGTGAAAGGACGGCATGCGTGCGGGGTAGGAGGCACGGGCGCGAGTGCGGGCGAGCTCACCGTGGGCATCAGCTGGTCGGTGCTCCGCACGCGTGTCACCTTGTTCTTGTAGATGAGCTTCTTGACAGCGCGCTCCACCGGTTGATTCCACCGCATGAACGTAACGTACGCGCCATACAGCAAGAACAGCACCAACGCCTCCTGCCAGTAGATCACGTTGTCTCGGAAACAGTATATCAACACTAGTAAGCTGATCGAGTAGAACGTGCAGTCTCGGAACAGCGGCCACCACGTCAACGTCAAAGTTGTGCGAGAGAAGAGCGCACACGCACCGATCACGAATAGAATGTTGAACACGGCCGAGCCCACTATCGTCCCAATGCCTACGTCGTCGAACGATACAAACACGCCGATCACGGAGGTGAAGAGCTCCGGAGCGGAGCCACCTGCTGCCATGAACGTGGCGCCGGCCACATCGTCGCTGATGGCCAGCCGCTCTATGATCACGTCCAGGGCAGGCACGAAGAACTCCTCGCACACGATCGCCAGCGCCACGAACATGTAGCCCATGCCGATCATATGAAGGAAGACGGCGCCTTGTCTTCGCTGCTCCTCCGTGAACAGGTCTTCAGGGAACAGCGGTGTTTTCTCCTGTTGCGGAGGGGAGGACGGGGAGGACGCAGGGGAGGCGGGCAGCTCGAAGTCCAGGTCTGGCGGCAGGTCGGTGGAGTTGGGGTCGCCGGCGCCGGCCCGCGCCGCGGCGAGCAGCGCGAGCAGCAGCGCGCCCCCCATGGCGCCGCGCGTCCGCACAGCGCACAGCCCGGCCAGCACTGCCGCCCCCCACGCGCCCCCGCGCCCCACGTCGCCCTCCGCGCCGCCGCTCGATAGCGCCGCACTGCGCCGACACTGCCCGCCGCCACCGCCGCGTACCGACCCCGCCGCCCGCTTTACTCAAGAAACTAAAGGATCTTCCACGATATTATCCTTTAGTTACACACAGATTAAAAATGATAACATCATTTACGGCATATATCTATAAAATTTACCTTATGAGCATATTATAAGTGGCAAATGCTACAACACAGTTGCTCGTAGCACAATGGCGTAGCACCGTTTTAGCGATTTTAGTACGATACGTCGTCACTCGAATCTCAACATCTTCGTTCATGTAAACTATGTAAAGCAGGTACGTAGTTTACATAATAATATAGCATACTGGGTACACTGTCATGTCCACTGGTTTCTATAGTCTCGTCCGGGCTCCGATTCGATTCGCGTACGTGAGACGGCGTTTCCTTGATAGACGCGAGCGATTTCGGCTGGCCCGGACGCCCCGCGACTCCTCGTTCTAATTAGAATAAAAGTAAATGTATAAGAACTTACAATGAACCGACAACTTCGAAAATGTTTGACTTATTCCGTTATATTTAAGATAATTACTAGATAATAACACAGTTATATAGTTCTATTAAAGAAATAAAAATAAAAAAACATAATCCTATCTTTAAATTCGTTAAAAGTTGTTAAACATAAATGTTATGTAACTAAGTTCATTTTATTTAAAGTAACATGTTCATATGTGGAAAGTAAATAGTATACTACCGTACACGTTGATCGTAATGTCAGTCTGACATAAATCATGTCGCGTTTCTGTCATGATTATTTGCAAAACAATTTAGCAAATAAAATATTGTGTAGTTTGTGGCGTGTCAACATATCTGAGCTTTGATGTGAGGTTTGCTATTTCGACATCAAATTATTACATTTCAAAATTTTCACTATCAACAAAATGGTGTTTCAGGTTTAGAAAATAACACTTACAATTTTGTGAAGATTACAATTTTCTTCTTATCTATTTCCTTTTATCTTCTTTCCTTCATATTCGATTCTTCAAAAAATATATCGATTTAGTTAAAATAAAGAAATAGTATAGATTTAAAAAATCATTAAATTACAGCGAATAATGACGAATCATATGCAACAAACGCATGTTGTATCATACATTCTATTAAAGTCGTATCAAACTACAAGACACACAATGAGAAAATTTTGAAGACAATCTATAATTATTTACTATACTCTTGTCGCAAACGCTTGTCACAAAAGCTCGGTGAGGAAAAACTAGCCATGCGTTGACAAATGCATGTATACATATCAGCATACTACCTATATCCATAAAGAGGGGATATCGAAATTCATGCTCTAGACATAATAAAGCCACATAACATCGTACGTCAGAAGTGCTTTTATCACCATGAAAGCCGTAATAAATAACACGAACTACATCAAACAAATTATATGTGTGTATATTATGAGAATTTTTAAAACCCTCCAATTTATGCATAAAAAGGTTGATAACTCGCACAAATTCTATTGACAGTGTACTACTGGTATTTTTCTTCCCATTTGTTCTGTTAATAAATAGACTGTTCTCTTTATAGAACTACTGACATTTTTTTTTCCTACTAATTTTTCATCGACTAATTACATTCTTAGAACCTTTAAGCCTCTCCTGAAAACTCATTTAGAAGACTGAATGCGAATTGTTAATGCAATGCAAATAAAGAATTCTTATAATGAATTAAACCGGTGTCATATTTCTCGATAATTTTTATTTCATTTTGTATCAAATTACAATAAAAATATGTGTGAAGGAAATGGTACTTTATTTCTTTTATATAACGTTCGATTTGCAAGAAATCTATACTACGCTAGCCAAGGCAATATTTAGAAATATGATGCCTCGCAAAGTTTGCCATAAGCTTAAGTTGGCTCAGTCATTATATACCGAATCCCGACCGAGCGCGTCAAGTCAAGTATACATGAGCCGAGCCAAATGGGAGATTCACTCGCTTGAACTGGTGAAACTTTGCAGAGTCATCGCTAGTGTGTGAAGTCACCTTTAGGTGTACAGTACAGTTTATGGGTTATTCTTGATACCTACGTATACTCTGGATATCAATTACCCAAGAGACATGTTACTGTGATATTTTAGTAGCAGTAGAGTTCCTTGTGAAAGAGTTCAAAGTACTGGCAGCTTACCTATTTCTCCCGCCAAGCAGTCATGTGACTGCTTAAGGGTGTTATTTTTATATGTTGTATTACTGCGTACGGGTGTTGGCAAAATTACAGGCAGACGGTATTTATCAACTTAATCTCAGGGTATCGGACGCAATGGTAGTGTTCCTCTCAAAATTTTGTGATTTAAAGCTTCAAGTGGCATTGCAACTGTATACGTAACAGGTGCTACGTTTCCTTCCAACCACACGACTTCTTCGTCTCGTCACTTAGTTATATAATAATCACAGTACAGAGTACTAAAAAAACCGAACTCAAAAGTACGTGGAATTACGTCTATTTGCTAAGTTTTTTTGAAATGTCCTTAAATTCGCCACTATACAGGACTTGACACTGGAGATAATAAAAATCGGTTCTCACTATTCAAAGTATATTGAGAGAAAAACGCCTTGAATTGGAAAAAAAGCAAAATCAACCATTAAAATAATTGCTCCTTAAGTAAAATTTAGGCGCTATTTATACATATGACTCTTCATGCGTGAACAGCCACCCTTAGAGGTGGATGATTTTCTTCAAAATGAAATGGGACCACTATGGAAGTACCCCTTTCCAACAAAAAAAGAATCATGAAAATCGGTTCACAAATACCGGAGTTATCGCATAATGTACATAAAAAAAACATTCAGTCCAATTGAGAACCTTTTTTGACGTCGGTTAAAAAAATATTATGTACTGTACTGAAAGGTCATTTGGTTCAACATGTTTCAATACATCTTTTACTTCTTTATATTAAAAATAACCATTTGTTAAAAACAACGATTTATTATTACTGATACCGACTAAACATAAACAAAAATTCCTTCGATCCTGTTGAACTCGAACGAGCTTCTGTCACCTCAACGTGGCTACTAACAACGCGCTTTTACCAATTGAACTACGGATCGAGCCTGCAGATTTTACAAATTTCAAGTCCTGTCGGAATGAAGGAATTTTTGTTTGTATTTATCGATCTTATAATAACGAACTAGTGGAGTATTTCACAAAAAACAGATGAATATTAATGTTGTAAAAACGTGGTATTCATTAAAAATAAAAATAAACTTTTATTTTAAATATTTTGGTGATAACGAAGCATCGTGAAAACATATAATAACGCACACACTCAACATAGCCTATTAAACATACTTAAAGTATATACACCAAAAATATTAAAAAAGAATAATTATATAATCCCTAAAAAGAATTATATTTGGCGTCGAATAATTTTATTGTTGTTATGCAAGTTACAATTTTAAAAAAATCTCTTTGTGGAATCGTGTTTGTTATGATTATTTAATAAAAATAAGAAATATGAAATTAAATTAATGTAACTGTATAAACTTCATTGTCTCAAATAGAAGGGATATAATTGAGCGTCCTCGCAAGGTCTATTTTTAATTTTGGCTTGAGTATAGGCAATATGATGTTGTGATCACAAAGAAATACGAAGATATAGTAGAAGTTGTTATTTTGTTATCAATAATTACTAAAAAACGTATAAACGTATTAATAGATTCAGGTATCATTTTATGGAAATCCATGTTAATAAAAATGGCAGTAAATTAATTTGTTATTCCTTCAGCACAGTGTGCAAAATAGCTGCGTTTGTATTGATTTTCTCGTGCAGTTAATTTTAGCCACCCTCCCTCCGTATAAAATAATAAGCAAACTCAAGCGCAACCACAGTAACAAACACGTCAACCAAAACTATACTTCACATGTTTTACCTCACTATAAGGCATCCTCAAAAGTTGTTGATTATTTGACACTCGATCGAAGAATGAGCCGTTCTTTTTTTTCCACTTTGTAGTTGGCCGCTGATGGTCTTGACTGCGCCACCGCAAGAAAAAGGCGAGCAGAAGGCTCGTAACCCGTAGTGAACCGCTCAGAACATTTGGTCATATTTATATACCCCACTACCCCCACTATTACCCTCGATATAATTTGAAAATACCCGCAATAAAGGTGATGACGCAACATTCAAATTATTTAATAAACAAAAAGTATAATTTAGAATGTAGAAGGGGAAGAATTTCAAAATAAATGACATTGATACATTTAGTTTCCTTTCAAAGTCACATCGGTCGGATATTAAAAGACGGTTCATCGCGTTACGAGATTGAATGTCTTTGATGTCATTTAAGACGGATATGTGACGGAATCGTCAGAAAGATCCTTACTAGAATGCAAGGTGCCGTTTTAAATAAATTGTGAGTTTCCTGCAAGAGAGTAACAGCCTATTGAAATTTTACGCGTTGTAGTAATGGTAACAGTTTGAAAACTTGTTATAACAATATCGCTTACTTACTTCGCTGGCTCACTTAGAATGGATCTTGGCGTCCGACAAAGTACGCCATTTCTTTCGGTCTTGTGTTGAGTTACGTCAAACTCTACTAATAGAGAGTAGTGATTCCAACAAAATAATTTTGTTATCTTTTTATTCTTCTTATGTACAGGGAAAAGAACGGTACGTTGTGCGAGGGAGCTTCTTTCATACACCCCAATATTGGTGTAAAATCACATCTTACTTACGGCACTTTGATAGGTAATTGAAACATCTACTGAAGTATATACCGTAGACACAGGGTTGAAGTCCATGTTCAACCGAGCATTTATACACCGGCAAGAGGAACACTAGTAAAAACCCCAAAATAATGTAGTCTTTTTTCAAAAGATGGGGCGGTTATCATACTTTTTTATTCTTAATTTTCCAAATAAAAAGTTTACGAACAGCCATTTTTAATCATTACTTTATTTTAATTTC